TCCAGCCTCTTGTTTGCGACAGATAAGAAAACAATTGATCGTTCAAGCTTTGTAATCTAAAAATAGACATACATATACTTATTTGAAGTTTTATTAACACCATTTATGTCAGATCTAATTTTTGATACGCGGCTTCTGTATTGGAAAACTTACAATACCTCAAATCCTCTTTTTTACTAAATTTTTCAAGGATTCATTAATGTGTTTTCTATAGCTGTTTCATAATCGTTTTAAAATGCTCTCTTAAAAACCAGGAAAGCTTTCAGGCAGCGAGGGTGGCCCGTTAGCTAATAAAAGACTTAATCCTAATCGATTACCGATTTAACTCGAGTCACGTGCAGATAAAATCGAACGTCCTTGTTGCTTCCTGACTCAGTGCTCGACGACATAATAACTAAAGAATATACATATATACCATTAAACAGGCTTCGCAAAATGCGTCATGTTAAATAAAATCACTGAACCAAGAGTGGTTACACGGATTCTTAGTTACATAATCAGTCGACTCGTCGCGATTATGCTTTACATGTTGGAATATCGATTACTTCTTATTGCATAATCTCTCATTCCTTCAGAAACACATTTAAATGTTCATGTCTTCTCTTTCTCATTTTATGCTTTTACTTATTTTTACACAAGCTCTTCAGCTTCTATTCATGCCATTCTGTTTCATTAATACGAATTCCAAATTGCTCGATTAAAAATAATTCATTGAATTTCAAATGGAATTAAATGTCAACTAATAATTCTGTGCACAAATAATTAAATTGTCTAATATCGATGAAGTCGTATCTTAAGCTCGGAACATTGTTATACATTTCGTGTCGACTCGTCTCGTTCAACTAGAACGGAAGCGAAAGTGTGCCGAAGCGGAATTCCGAGGAGGAATTTACACGCTCGAGTTGCCAGCCTCGGGAACAATGGAACGATTTAATTACAATTACTCCGATCGAGAATTTGCCTCGAGTCGCGTGCACGATGAAAACGCGAATGCGTACTACGGAAGCGCGTCGAGCTGTTTATTGCTGGGAACGAAACGATTTAGATGAAAGAGCGAGGAGGAAAAAGGTGGTATGTAGATGAAAGGGAAATGGAGTGGAATAATGAGGATAATGCGTAGAATAATTCTGGGATGGGAACAGTAAAAGGAAGAAGGGAAGGAATAAAGAAATGAAGTAAATGGTGAAAGTGGAATTTGTAACAAACAGAATGGAACCATGGTTCCTAGAATCAATACATGTAATATGATATACAATGTAAGAAGATTGAAATCTGAAGAAAATAGGATAATTTATGAATCTTGTCTGGAAAATATTCAAACGTTTTGGAAATTCCAAATAATCCTACGTGTAGATAATTAACCAACTACGGTTAATTGAACGGCAGATGGTAGATAAGATGACGTAATGGATTCGCAAATGTGGGCAATAACAATAGGAAACGTGATTCGTATTATTCATCAAGCTGGTAACCGAAACGAAAGACAATTTCAACTCGCTTCGAACCAATTCTCTGTGAAAACAATTCCCCGTTTCAATTCGTTTCTATATTTATCCCTATCGGTTTCCATCGATCCATTTAAATCTTTTTTTTTTTTAATACAATATCGAAATTTGTTTTAAAAACGAGATTCGTTCTAAATTAATTCAATTTCGTATCACTTCGAAAATTGAAACTGCGATACCATCCAGAAATTCAATTTCAATCGAACAAAAGGTATTATTTCATCTGGAATCAATTTGAAATTGTTGAAACGTACGATGAGAAGAAAGAACGAACGTTGTTCTTTCCTTTTTAACAAACAAAAGCCGGAATGAAATCACCGGATCGCGTGATTTCCACGCTGTGGTTTGCGGATTAATGACCGTGATGACGATCATTTTTTCGTCGCTCGGTGCACACAAACACACTTTTTCCATGGCAAGTTTCTCCTTCTATTAAACCGGTTTACTTTGATACTTTTAATATATACACTCTTTTTACGTATGAACTATTCACTATACAACACAGAATGCACCGCATTTTATGTGAATAAAAAATATATTTTCTCTTTGTATTCAATTCTAAAAGCGTTAGATGTTATCAGAGAGTTTCGATAAACGAAACACTGAAAATGTAGTTGAAATCTTTGACGTTCTTAAATAAAATATAGACAGCTATATAGAAAGCGAATGAATTTATGGTACGGACGTAAGTACATATGTAATTTGAAGCAATTTAACAATGAAACGTCTACGTACTCATCCTGGGTCACGACATTATATTGTATTATGAGACACGTACTACACCTCTATTGTCTAAATTGAAGAAATGCGAGCGAATGAAAAGTGATCTCGTTTGTCGACCGAGATGGAGAATTCTCATTCGAACACTCCTTTTTGTTTCCGTTCTCCAAATGGTAGAAAATGAAAAATACTAAAAACAAGTCATACCAAATTTTCCTATGTTATAAATGAAACTGAAATCTTCAGATAGAAAATAGACAGTGGGAATTTTAAAAAATATTATAGTCATGTAGTACGTGTTTTAGTAAATATTTCAAAGCTTGAAAGGTGGGAATGGAACGTCAGGCGTTCGTAGAAACACTGTTTCCTGCTCCTGTCTCGAGATGTTTTGTTCGTTTAAAGCTACTCTCTAACTTGTATTTAATTTAATTGGCGAGTCCTCGGCTTGACCTTCTTTTCAACGATTTAAATTACCAACGATTTAAATTAACTACACGTTGAACGTGTGTACATGCGTGTGTGGTAAACACATTTAAATTCCTCTGTATAATCTTCTTTATACAAAAGCTCTCTCTAATCTGTACAATTCCTTCTGCGAAATTCTCTTCTCTGTACATGTGTGCATAAAAATGTGCATAAAAATTTATACAAATATGTATATAAAAATCTGTATAAAAATTTATACAAATATGTATATAAAAATCTTCCAGCCTCGGGAACAATGGAACGATTTAATTACAATTACTCCGATCGAGAATTTGCCTCGAGTCGCGTGCACGATGAAAACGCGAATGCGTACTACGGAAGCGCGTCGAGCTGTTTATTGCTGGGAACGAAACGATTTAGATGAAAGAGCGAGGAGGAAAAAGGTGGTATGTAGATGAAAGGGAAATGGAGTGGAATAATGAGGATAATGCGTAGAATAATTCTGGGATGGGAACAGTAAAAGGAAGAAGGGAAGGAATAAAGAAATGAAGTAAATGGTGAAAGTGGAATTTGTAACAAACAGAATGGAACCATGGTTCCTAGAATCAATACATGTAATATGATATACAATGTAAGAAGATTGAAATCTGAAGAAAATAGGATAATTTATGAATCTTGTCTGGAAAATATTCAAACGTTTTGGAAATTCCAAATAATCCTACGTGTAGATAATTAACCAACTACGGTTAATTGAACGGCAGATGGTAGATAAGATGACGTAATGGATTCGCAAATGTGGGCAATAACAATAGGAAACGTGATTCGTATTATTCATCAAGCTGGTAACCGAAACGAAAGACAATTTCAACTCGCTTCGAACCAATTCTCTGTGAAAACAATTCCCCGTTTCAATTCGTTTCTATATTTATCCCTATCGGTTTCCATCGATCCATTTAAATCTTTTTTTTTTTTAATACAATATCGAAATTTGTTTTAAAAACGAGATTCGTTCTAAATTAATTCAATTTCGTATCACTTCGAAAATTGAAACTGCGATACCATCCAGAAATTCAATTTCAATCGAACAAAAGGTATTATTTCATCTGGAATCAATTTGAAATTGTTGAAACGTACGATGAGAAGAAAGAACGAACGTTGTTCTTTCCTTTTTAACAAACAAAAGCCGGAATGAAATCACCGGATCGCGTGATTTCCACGCTGTGGTTTGCGGATTAATGACCGTGATGACGATCATTTTTTCGTCGCTCGGTGCACACAAACACACTTTTTCCATGGCAAGTTTCTCCTTCTATTAAACCGGTTTACTTTGATACTTTTAATATATACACTCTTTTTACGTATGAACTATTCACTATACAACACAGAATGCACCGCATTTTATGTGAATAAAAAATATATTTTCTCTTTGTATTCAATTCTAAAAGCGTTAGATGTTATCAGAGAGTTTCGATAAACGAAACACTGAAAATGTAGTTGAAATCTTTGACGTTCTTAAATAAAATATAGACAGCTATATAGAAAGCGAATGAATTTATGGTACGGACGTAAGTACATATGTAATTTGAAGCAATTTAACAATGAAACGTCTACGTACTCATCCTGGGTCACGACATTATATTGTATTATGAGACACGTACTACACCTCTATTGTCTAAATTGAAGAAATGCGAGCGAATGAAAAGTGATCTCGTTTGTCGACCGAGATGGAGAATTCTCATTCGAACACTCCTTTTTGTTTCCGTTCTCCAAATGGTAGAAAATGAAAAATACTAAAAACAAGTCATACCAAATTTTCCTATGTTATAAATGAAACTGAAATCTTCAGATAGAAAATAGACAGTGGGAATTTTAAAAAATATTATAGTCATGTAGTACGTGTTTTAGTAAATATTTCAAAGCTTGAAAGGTGGGAATGGAACGTCAGGCGTTCGTAGAAACACTGTTTCCTGCTCCTGTCTCGAGATGTTTTGTTCGTTTAAAGCTACTCTCTAACTTGTATTTAATTTAATTGGCGAGTCCTCGGCTTGACCTTCTTTTCAACGATTTAAATTACCAACGATTTAAATTAACTACACGTTGAACGTGTGTACATGCGTGTGTGGTAAACACATTTAAATTCCTCTGTATAATCTTCTTTATACAAAAGCTCTCTCTAATCTGTACAATTCCTTCTGCGAAATTCTCTTCTCTGTACATGTGTGCATAAAAATGTGCATAAAAATTTATACAAATATGTATATAAAAATCTGTATAAAAATTTATAAAAATATATAAAATACAACAATTATTATGAGCTAATTTTTCAACAATTGTTAATTCTTGTTTTAGATTTCGCGAGGAGGTCTAACGAATGGTGTGAGATGAATCGAGGAAGAAGAAGAAGATCGACCGTCGCGTTAAAAGTATGGATAGGTAAGAAACAAGCAAACGAATAAATTAACGAAGCCTTCGAGTACTGAACGTGCAAAATAGAAACGCGGATTCTGTTCAATAAATCATGCATTTGTGAAGTATGTAAATTAATCATAAGAAACGTGACTTCATACGTTTCAACTCTGAAGTACAGACGGAAATACAAACGAAAATAAGAGATATAAACGTACGCAGATACAAATAATAAAAAATAATCAGTACTGGGTACAAATTAATGACACGAGAATATGTTTTTATTCTATCTTAGTAAAGAGAGAACAGGAACGTTTAATGACCTCATTTTTTCTATTCACTTTTGACCATCACTGTATGTACGTACGCATGTACCCGGATTCGTTTGCATAATTCATGAGCCGGGTGTAACGCGTGTACATAATATTGTATATGTATAATGAGAATCCGTGAAAACGGTTTGAAGGCCAAGGCGAATGATAATTTCGACGTTAACTGCGACACCAGTCAACATCATTTTTCATGTATGTATGATAAATGAGATATGAAAGTCTCAGAAATTGAGACGTACTTCTTCGATTATTTAAAAAGCAGAAATTAATATTAAGACTAAATCGAAATTCTCATAGGTTCTAAATGTTATATCATTTTACATTTGATATACATCGTTAGTGTACCGATGCTATACATGATGTACTGTACCCGGCCAGCAAAGTACTGTTACTCAAGATCGCCATTCCGTAAACCTAACTGTAACACTTTTGCCCTGTCCGTACACAATCACAATTTACCGTTGCATTGCACGATATGTAGGGTAAGCCACCCTGATTCTTCAAAATGACAAATCATCGTAACTTTTATCATCACTAAATTCCAAAGGAAATTAAAATAATTGTAAATATTATTATCATTAGACTACAGATTTTTATGCAAGATTAAATGATTAAAGTGCATGATTATATAATGAATATTATTATATGTATAATAAATATAATTTAATATACTTTGCTTTTAAATATGTGCTTCTAATATTTTGTATACTGAATGCATCATTCAAAATTCAGTATATTCATGTCTGTTATGAATTCATAAAAATCGACAGTCTAATGATCATTGAAAATCATTTAAAACAAATAATTAAATCCCTTGATTCTGATATTATAATGTTATATTGCTATTGTACCTTTTTATTATTGAATATTAATTATATGTTTTATATTATTATCCTATAATTATTGAATAAAGCTAATATCCCCTACAACCTGAAATCATGTTTTGTTCACTGACTTTTTCATAAATTACTTCCTACTTTTATCACCTTATTCGGAGAACACTCTGCATACAATACCACTGGCTGAAACTTTATTTCCTGTATTATTTCTACACGTTGAAGAAACAAATTTTTCCATTTTGTGCAGTTTTACTTTCGCGATTACGCGAGGGCCTTGTTTCCATTTTTTTTCTGCTCGTTTCCTTTCTTTTTTTACTCCGGAATGCATAGAACGCGCAGTCTACCGTTCCGTTACGGAGAAATGGAAATCGGATTACGTAGACGCATAACAGAGAAATTATGTACGGGCACAATTAGTTTTGATGCGAACTATTTTCATTTCAAACTATGTAGCGTGATTAGAAAGTTTCACTCTTATACAGTTTTAATAAGTCGTTTATTATTCGGATTAAAATGTATTGAGAATTTTGTGAATTCAGTATTTAATGTATTCAATATATCATCTGACGCATTCAAGTCTCTGTAATTCAGTACATGAAATACATGAACTGAATGTATCATGAAAGTAAAAAATACATGAAAGAACATGAGAAACTATGAATGATAAAATACTCGGTTTTAACTCGATCCTAGACAAAATTATTTCTCCTCTCGGTTTCCCTGTACACATTCGCCTGCTTTCTGAATATGTTAAGCAGACCTCGGGATTATTCAGAAGGGAATTTTAAACATGCGATGCACGATCTCTCTAGCTACGCGAACAACAGGTATACGAGTAGAAGGAGAGAAAAAAATAACACGACTATCCGATGTTGACAACGAATAAGAATCCCGATGGGAAAATTTCTTGGAAAGACGCAACGTCGGAACGCGGAAAAACCTCGGTCTATCCACGTGACTGGAATATTTCGTTCTTCGACAATAGATCAATCAAATTTTATTTTGCATACTGCGTATCGAGTCGATTGTTTCATAAGAATGAATGGTTAAACGATCATTCAAATAACGACACACGTGACTGAATAAACACGTTCATCCACGATTTGTTATCATTAAATGACACATTGAATCTAATGTGTCAAATAATGTATTTGATTAAATAATTAAATCACGTGTATCGAATTTACTATCTTTCATTGATATCACAATTTCTGACCCACGAGATTCTCGATCAATTTTACTAGAGCATCATTGGAAAATTATTGCAAGTTTGTATTTTTTATATTTCAGGTGTCTCCCTGATACTGTTTGGCACCGCAGTCGCAGAGATCTCGGTAGATTCATCGAAGAGGTTTGAAAACTCGCAGGAAAATGTACCTGGAGCCCCGATATTCGATAAAGACGAAACCGCCGTGAACGGAGCGTCCATAACCGATTTAGAGGCCGTTGAAAGGCGAGATAAACTAATTTCCTCGTCGGATTCGATCGCGGACCGTTCCGTCGACGATGGTCGAGCACAGCGCGAGGTGAAAGTGGCTGCGAGCCACGGAATCGGGTCGAGCCTCGGATCATCGACCTCGAACGGGAGAGAGGATGCTTTCCAGGCTCTAGCTGACCACAGGACTTCCTCCAGGAGCAACGACGGGATAATTGCTTTTGCGAATTCCGGCGACATCCAAGATTTGGATAATCGTCAAAGTGGAAATTACGAACACCTGGCAAATGTGATTGCGTCTCTCAGTAAACCGATTTACTCACAGCCTCGGAGACCTTCGGACGCTGACGACTTTACTCCGACTGGTCCCGTTGAATCTGAAAGCGGAAACGATAATGAGGTAGTCGTGACACCGTCGGAAAAGAGGTCCAGGCTGAAGGCTGAAAGTTTTCCTGCAAAAGTGACAAACTTGAAATCAAAAGTAATTAGCGAGGATAATTTTTCATCGTCGAGGACAGATGAAAAGAGACTCGAAAGTAGCACGGGCACTTTTCTTAAAGAAAAACGTGACGAAGTCGAGAAAGTTGAAAGAAGAAAAAGTGCAGAAAACCGTAAGGTCGAGACGCAGGAGTTTAAGAAACGACGAAGAAGGTCTGAAGGTCCCATAAAGAACGGCGAAGTCTCGGATCTTGAGAAACCAGACGATCCTATATCGTTAATAAACGACACTTACGTTAATTATAATACGAACAATAAACAGAGGAGTAAGGGGAAGAATTTCGATGGGAAGACATCGAAGGACGTCACTGATTCGATCTTTGTCCGAGAGCTGACTCGCGGACCCAAGGAAGAGGTGGAAGTGGTTAACAACGTGACTGATTCTGTTTTAGATCGTATCGTTGAGTCACAGTACCAAAACTCGACCGCGGAGGACTTAAATGAGCTGAACGTCGAGTCGCAATCTCAAAACTCGACCCTGAACAGATCAACCGTAAATGTAACGCTTAAAGCCTTGAACGAATTTAATCAAGGACCGAACGTTGACTCACCGTCCCAGAATTCAACATCGGAGAGTGTCAACGAGTTTGATCTTGAACCAGAATCCCCAAACGTGAATTCTGATAAGACAGATAAAAACTCGACTGTGAAAGAATTAGATCAATCTTATATAGAAACGAAATCTGCAACTTCATCCGTGAAAGCATTGAATTTAGTGAACAAAGAATTAGATGGAACTACGAACGAGTCGGACGATTTAAACCTGGAAGTGACAAGTGCAAACAAGGAAGCAGGAATTACGACCCAAGGGACAGTCTCGGTGGAGGAGAGTTCTCAATTTCAAGGATCGTCTAGTCCAGTTCCCAAGGGAAGAACCATAGCGTTTTCCGCGGTGAACGAGTTTTCCGATTCGAAAGTGAAACCTACGATCTCTTCCTTGAGGCTCGAGTTCTCGTCGAAGAAGGAAGCCACGGAAATACCGTATCCTTACACGAAATTCGGTCAGAACGACTTCTTGGCGAGTTCCAACGGCAGTGATCGAAATCGTTTCACCGATCAAACAAACAACAATAACAACAACGACGAAGTCATCCCTTTAGAGAATACGATAGTCAAAGGGAAATCTGATGAGAAGTTCACAGTCACCGAAGCTTCAGACGTTTTAGAAAATAGTATACAATTAAAGGCGGTGTACCACGACAAGAACGAATCGTCGACTGCTTCGACGGCTTCTCTGACGAAGTTGAATTACGAGAAAGATGAAGTTGATCAGAAATCAGAAAATGGGAATAAAACAGATGATAGGTTGGTTGAAAAATCTGTACAAGAACCGACGGATAACTTGAGAAATGTTGTCGAGAAGAAGCACGATGGAGAAACTAATTTAAAGTCGAATGAGAAATCAGAGAACGTGGATAATGTCATAGATAAAAAGAACGAAGCTGGGTTAAAATCGAAAGAAAATTCTAAGAACACGCCGGAGAACTCGGGGAACGTTATCGAGGAAAAAGTTGAAACAGCGACTAGTTTGAAGCCAGAAGATAAGTCGGGAAAATTGGAAATTATCGAGAAACAAGATGAAGAGGAAGCGAGTTTAAAATCGAAAGAAGTGTTGGAAAAGAAATCTGACAATATTATAGGAAATTTAGACGAACGGGAAGCTGCATTGAGATCGAAAGAAAAATCAGAGAAATCTGGGAGCAACGTCATAAAAGGATTGACTGAAAAAGAGAGCGATTTAAAATCTAAGGAAGAAAAATTGGAGGAGCCCGATGATGAAAAGCTGAATGGAAAATCGAAAGATAACGAAGTTCCGAAATGGAGTCAGGAAAGCGTGGACGTGACTGGAAACGGTATAACGGAAGTCACTTCCATACCGGAAAACTCGCATAGGAAAGTTTCTGTCCAAACGACAGGAAACCCGTTGGAACCGGAAACCGACGGAACACCGTCTTTACTCATACGTTCTGCTCTGAATGCCACTGAAATTTCAACGGAATACTCGTTAATTAAAGGGAGTTCACCTGAAGATTCTCACGGGGAAACCACTACGTCTGGAAATTCTGATTTAGAGACCATTGGAAACAATTCGATAAATTTAGAACCTAAAGGTAATTCGATTTTACATAATTATATACTTATATTTATATATATTTTACATAATTATAACAATAATGTTCCTTATAATTAACAGTTTCTAATTTATTTTACAATGTTAATTCAGCAATTCTCGAATTGCAATTTTTCATATATATATTTCACTTAGAAAATTTTAATACAACTCCAAATTCTATTTGGATTTTAAGTCAGCATCACGTCTTATCTTTAACTCGAAATGTATTTTTCTTAATAGAAAATATAACAGAACCTGAGATTTCGCAATCGAGCTCGAATCGCAGTAACGAGATCCCATCTGGCAGCTTCAATCCCAACGAGAACCCATCGACAACAAGCATCGAGTTCGAATTCGTTGGTTTAACCGAGTCTACTACTGTTTTAACTCAAAACATCACCGAAGAGGCCGGATCGACCAGCGAGAGTTCAACACTTCTGCCGACCACGAATGATTCCAAGAATCTAAGTAAATCGAGTGAGACCGAGGCGGTCATTGACAACAGAGAATCTAGCATAGATTCATCCGAAGATACGACGATTTCTATTTTGACGACGAGCTTTGCAACATTTGAATTCACAAGCCAGTCGAGTAATTTTGATCAAGAAACGAGAGAAGAAGAAACAACGAGTAAGAAGGACGAAACTCGAGGAATTAATAGTGCTACAAATACTTGGACCGAGGAGAACATTCCTGTTACTACTACTATAAAAATAGAACAAACTATTTCAGAATCAAAGGACTCGATCGAAAATGTGACAGAAATTCCTACGGAATCTACTTCGATGATAAATATCAATGCGACAGATACTGTGGTACCTTACATCTCAAAAGAGGAATCAAGTCCAATTGAAAATACTAGTAAACCAATTGAGGGTATTTTAACAACGAGCCCCGTCATTCCAACAGAGAAAATTCACGAGAAGTCATCGAATGAACAGATAACTTCGCTGGTTAGGATTGATATGGCTGATAGCTGGTACGAGGTTTGCCCCAAAATTGATAAATTGTGGAAGACTTTAGCTGATATCTTAACCACAGGCACCAACAAGTGAGTATTTATTAATACGGCGTACAATTTCATGCGCGAGACTATTTTTATTGAAGGAATTTTAATAAAAGTCATGATTTAATTCAAGATACTGTGAACAGTAAATGCATATTATTACTACTAAATGCAATACAGTTTCATATATTTTAACGTCAGTCTCATATCGAGTAACAAATAATATAAAATATTGTTTTACTCTCGGTTTACAGATCAGTGACCGATAAACAGATTAAATTATATCAAGATCCATGTCAAGAATCACCGAGCTCGACGCCAACATCATCGGAAATGCCTCTAACGTCAATATTAGTTTACGTGGTCGACGAGAACGGGAGATTCGATAGCAACATGACTAAAATCCTGGCCACCTTGGGTGAGAACTCGAAAGTCGAGTTCCCAGTCACAGTAAGTTCAACAGAATTAAATGAAAATTGTTAGAAACACCGATTCCCACTGCATGTAGTTTAAAGTCGAACTTTAGTTACAATCCTTCGGATTCAGTTCAATCGTGAATCGAATCAATTTATAACACTTTAGGCTATGACAAGTTACATATACATGTGTTCATACA